CCAAACTTCAAGGACCAAGGTGCATGGCGCGAAGCGCCACTGCAGTCTTGTATATATATATACATATGTATATATGTATATGTATATGCATATACACATACAAGCACACATATATATATATGTATATATGTACATACTTGCCGACGATTCATGATGTCAGTGTTTGTGTGTTTGTTTGCTCCCTCCTGGACTCGCGTCGTGGCAAACGTTGCAGCAGAGGCTTTCCTCCCAATCTTCGGGATCTGGGGGCCCTCGCTGGTCCCCCGGACCGTCAACAAAACGACTCGGCCCGAAAAACAGGCCCTGGGCAAAGGCTCGGGACCTTGGGGGACCGCGTCTTGGAGAAATGACCACATCGGACGCCTGGGAGGGAAACCTCGACCTCCGACCCTGAGGTCCTGCGTTGCCCCTTTTTCGCGCCGGTCGTGTTCGCCCCATCTGTCAGAGGAGGAACATATACCAATACCGCTGCCCCTCCCTCGTCGCTGCGGCTGGACTCGCTCCGAAATCCTGGTCGGAACATACCCAAGGAAAGGTCGGTGGACCAGCGGTATCGGTATCTTTTTGTTTCCCCAATGTCGGGCCCTGGGGCCCTCACATTTGCGATTCGCCTGCAAGATGCCGCAGAAGGATGGGGTCTAAGTCTTTTCGCCAGGCTTCATTTTTTTTCTCGCAATGTCGGGTCTCAGGGTCCGACGGTCTGACTTTACAGCTTGGGCGCTTCTCCTAGATGTCGGCCTCTGGAGCCCGGTACGGTAGGTTCGCGTCGTGTCGACCGGCGGCGACCCCGCCGCTGGCGTTCAACGTTGAACGCCGCCAGCGACCCAGAATTTGCCGATGTTGACCGATCAAACGTTTCGGAAACGGCCGAAGGTTCAAGGCTGAACGATGCAGGGCAGCGTCAGAAACCAACGCCAGGGTTGGTACGACTCGAACCCACTGTACAGGGCTCCGACGTGGACAGGACAGGAGGAGGAGGAAGACCAATGTAAACCCAAGAGTCATCAACGACGTCAAAATAAACCCTCCCTCCAAGCTTCCTCTTCATAGGCCCCTGCAACGGTTCATTTCCACTGAGGGATCTGCAGCGTTCGAAGACAACCGTTTGAAGACCCTGACGCATGCCAAAACATTGTTCTCGGGATTCCAACGCCACGGTTCAACCTGATTGTCGCGTCTTGACGATCCAGAATCGTGCCAGAACGCCCTTCTTGGGACATCAAAACCGCGAATCAGCTTAACTGTTGCACCCTTTATGATCCCGAATCCTTCCGAAACATCATTTCTGGTAATTCCGCTGATGATGGGAACCCGTGACACTCTTGCAAAGTCGCGGCGCTAAGGCGAGAGCCACATTTCGAAAAGGAAGCGCCCTAATTCCGTGAAGTTCTGGCAGACGGCAGATTCTTAAAACGAATATACGCGGCGCTAAGGCGAGAGTCGCTTTGAAAACGGCCTGCCCTCAATCTCTTGCATTTTTTTAGAAAGAAAGTACGCGGCGCTACGGCGAGAGCCACTCAAACAAAAAAACGATTCGCCCTCAACATGTGGTGCTCTTGCACATCCTGAAACGAAGGTATGCACATCCTGAAACGAAGGTACGCGGCGCTAAAGCGAGAACCACATCAAGAAAACGACTCGCCCTCAATCCGTGAAGCTTTTGCAAATTTTGAAACGAATGTACGCGGCGCCAAGGCGAGAGCCACATACTGAAAACGACTCGCCTTTAATCCGTGAAACTCGTGCAAATTTGGAATCGAATGTGCTCGGCGCTGAAGCGATCGCCGCAGTTTGGAAAATTGTCTGCCCTCAATCCGAGAAGCTTTTGCAAATTGTCAAAACGAATTTGCGAGGCGCTAAGGCGAGAACCACATTTTGAAAACCACCCGCACTCCATCTTTGATAAACTTTGAGAAGGTCTCTGGCGAAGCGCCCGACCCGCCCTTGAAACTTGTTTCGGGGTGCGACAGTGGAAGTTAGTTATACGGAAGAGGATTGGAGGAGGAGGAGGAGGAGGAGGAGGAGGAGGGGGAGGAGGAGGAGGAGGAGGAGGGGGAGGAGGAGACGAGGAGGAGGAGGAGGAGGAGGAGGAGGAGGAGGAGGAGGACGAGACACGGGCACGGACACGGGACACGACACGGACCACCAAAAAAGCGAAGCTGGGGCGAGGAGCGGGCTCCCTGGGCCGCGCACGGAGACAGCCAAACGGGCCAGAGGTCCGGGAACGATTCGTGCGTTTTTCGTTTTTTTGTCATTTGTTTTGCAAGCTATGGTTTTTTGGGCCTGCCACCAACATGATGCGAACGGACGCGGAAATAATCTGTCGGTGGTAAATCATGGGGGCCCGGTGTGCCCTCTTGATTCCGTCTTTTGCATCGATTTGCGTTGATTAGCGTCGATTAGCGTCTATGGTCGATGGGATAACGCGGATGTAGCGTCGGTTGGCGTCGATTTTGCGTCGATCGGCGTCGACTCGCAAGCGCCGACAAGATGGTATGGGAGGCTCCCATGAGATGCCACCGAAGAACCTAGGCCTCCCAGATGGGGTCGGAGTATAGATGGGTTCGGAGGATCGCCGCATCGCCGATGCATCGGCGATGCGGCTCGATGCGGAGCCCGATGTTCTTCACGCGGACGTCGTCGATGTATCGCCGACGTCGCCGATGCATCGCCAGTGCTTCGCCGATGCATCGCCGGTGCATCGCCGATGCATCGTCGATGCATCGCCGATGCGGCGCGATCCGCCGACCCCATCTACAGTCAACCCGCATGGTAAGTAAGGATGGGCAACCTTCCCAAGGGTACCCTTGCATCCTTGCCTCCTCGGTCCATCCTTCGCCAGTTTCATTGGCCGCGCCCCGCGCGAAAAGCGTCGAAATGGGCGCCCAAGGCCCTTGCACTGTGCCATTTTTTCCGTTACCGTTTTTTGTCACCGAGCGCGTTCCACCACTCGCTAAGTGCCTGCTCGCAACCCAGGGGGCCACATGCGAACCCTACCCCTGCCCCCCAGGATTTCTGAGGGGGAGTGTGGGGTTCACTTCGCTCGGGAGCCCCCGAGCGAAGTGACCCCCACCCTCCCCCTCAGAAATCCTGGGGGGCAGGGGGTAGGGTTCGCACGTGGCGCTGCACAAACGAGATGGAACATCATATTCTCCCCGCGGCGGATCCAGACCACTGGCGAGCAGTTCCTTTGCGAGTCGTGGAACGCGCTGGCCCATTTTGCAGGGCTCGTTTCGATTCCTCCGATTCGATTCGATTCGACTTCGATGGCTTCCGATTCCGATTCGATTCGACTTGGGATTCCGATTTGGGTTCCGATTTCCTATTGGAGGCGTACTAGCCTGCCAATTTCAGCCGATTCGACTTTTCCCGATTCGGCTGCCGATTTCCGCCGATCCGATTCATTTCGACTGCCGATCCGACTTGTCGATCCGATTCTGGGCTCTCCTGATTTTGGCGTCCGAACAGGAGCACGGCGAGCCGCGCTTCGGCTTTGCCGGGTATGCGGCGATGCTCACGGCTGCCGGAGGCGGCGGAAGCGTGAGGGGGCGCCCATTGTTCGGATCGGGGGCGGACAGAACCCCCAACAGAGACACGTCGATTAGTGAATTGTCCGTTTTCGGTTCTCGAGAGGGCGCCGTGGCCGTCACTTTCCAGGCTCGCACCCGCCAGATTTGGGCCTCAGGTCGTTTTCACTAAACCACGTTTTACTAAAGGGGGTCTGTCCATCCCCGATCGGACCCAAGCCGAGGCATGTCGAGGTGCACTTCGGCCGGTCCAGTTCGATTCGGGTCCAGAATTTCGACGAGCCGCAGAGGAGGAACAAAGTACTACCCCTACCCCTACCTTTTCATCGTTTTCCACTTTTTGGGGGCCTCCTGGGAGGCCATCGTCGCCACCGCTGGATTTGCGTCGAAATCCTGGTCAGAACGCACCCCGGGAGGGGTCCGGGGAGTAGCGGTATCGGTAATTTTTGGTTTCGCCAGATCCGAGGCGGCCCGATGCCATCGCGAACAAAAGAGCCTCTAATTCCAATAACACGATGAAGACGTGACCTCACTCAGGTCCGCATCTTCGCATGATTGATAACACTTCCGGGCGGTTTGGTCTCATACATCTGCCGGAAAAAAGAAGCCCCCTATTCCTATGCTATTGGTCCTCCTAACTGAGGTGCCCTCCAAAAGGCTGAGGGGTCTTCTTAATGCCAATCACGATGATTGCATTGCTCGTTGCTTGGCAGCCTGGCGCGGCCGATTCGATTCGATTCCGTCTCCGTGCCGATGCAGCCAGAGCCAACGCACGCGTCGGGTGTTGCCAGGCGTGTCCCTGGCCCAAGGTTCTGGTTGACCCGAAAGGGTTTCGAGCGAAAAGGGGGCGGTGCCACAGATCTGGTGCAATAGGTGTCTGGGTTTGCAGTAGATCTAGGGGTGTGCAACATATCATATTCCAGGTCGCAAATGTATTGCTGGATGCTCGCGTGCATGGCATTCGTTGCAATACAGTGCAAACCAGTTCTCTGGCGCAAGACATCTGCAGTACAATTACCCCAACTCTATTGCACCACCGCCTTTCAGCTGGACCCACTTTTGGGTCACGAGGAAAGGTGTCCCCAGGGTTCCCACGGAGGGCTCCACAGACTCAAGATCAGCCGTTGCGAGGTTCAGAGGGCCCCAGGGCTCCCAACCTGGTGGAAAGCTGGGAAAGCCTTGGGCCAGGACCGCCTCGAGCAACACCGGAAAACGTTCCGATTCGATGCGGTTTCCCGTTTCGGTGCTGGTTGACCTTGTTGAGCCGACGCCGATGTCCGGTGTCCCTCTCCCCTGTTCTTGCTCTCTGGATGCTCCTGGAGGGCCCGCGCCGTCCCGGCTGCGCTCGGAAGTCAGAGTCCTGGCCGGAGCGCATCCCCGGAGAGTGGTGTTGGGGAGTGGCGTTGCAGTCGGGGCGCTTCAGAAGGAGCCCTTTTCGTCGGGGAGGGGCTCGGTGTTCTTTAGTTGGTTTAC